TGTGTATTTATCAGTGCTCACAGGAGGTGTGACAGGTACAGTGTGTATTTATCAGTGCTCACTGCAGGTGTACAGGATCCCTTTCCCAGCCCAGGATGGGCACAGCAGCTCCCTCTCCTTCCCCTGTTCAGGATCCCTTTCCCAACCCAGGATGGGGACAGAGCTCCCTGAGCCCCAGGAGGACCCCGGATCCATTTCATGCTCTCCCTGCCCCGTGTTTCAGCAGCACAAGAGAGGGAATGGTCTTTGAGCTGCTTGGAGTGCCTGATTGTGGCAGGACAGGCAGGTGCTGGATCTTCGCTCATTTTCCAGCTTTCCCTGGCATCCCTGTTGGTTCTGTGTCCATCAGCCCTTTCCTGGAAAGGTGCAGAAGCCATGGCAGGGCAATCCCTTCTAGCAGAGTCACCCCAGTGTGTACTTCACCTCCTCCTTGAGCTGATGGATCCATCGGGGGCTCCTTGCTGCCTCTCCCTAAGGACTGCCCCTTCCTCAGGACCTGCTGTGGTTTTGAACTTGTGGTTTTCCCAGGTTTTTATCTTGTGTCTTTCCCAGGTTTTTATCTTTTGGCTTTCCCAGGTTTTTAAGTTGTGGCTTTTCCAGGTTTTGAACTTGTGGCTTTCCCAGGTTTTGAACTTGTGGCTTTACCAGGTTAACTAGTGGCTTTCCAGATTTTTAACTTGTGCCTTTCCCAGGTTTTTAACTTGTGGCTCTCCCAGGTTTTTATCTTGTGGCGTTTCCAGGTTTTTATCTAGTGGCTTTACCAGGTTTTTAATTAGTAACTTTTCCAGGTTTTTATCTTGTGGTTTTCCCAGGTTTTTAACTTGTGGCTTTCCCAAGTTTTTAATTAGTGGTTTTCCAGGTTTTTATCTTGTGGCTTTCCCAGGTTTTTATCTTGTTGCTTTTCCAGGTTAACTTGTGGTTTTCCCAGATTTTTAACTTGTGGCTTTTCCAGGTTTTTAACTTGTGGCTTTCCCAGATTTTTAACTTGTGGCTTTTCCAGGTTTTTAACTTGTGGCTTTCCCAGGTTTTTATCTTTTGGCTTTCCCAGGTTTTTAACTAGTGGTTTTTCCAGGTTAACTTGTGGCTTTCCCAGGTTTTTATCTTTTGGCTCTCCCAGGTTTTTATCTTGTGGCTTTCCAATGTTTTTAACACCTGACAGCATCCCAGGTATGCATTGTGAGGGACCAGGTATTGGTGGGGACCAAAACAAACCCAAGACACCCCTCAGCACCCTGATTCTACTTCAACAAAAGCATTTCAATTACTCCTGCTGCCTTTTGCACATGCACCAGACATTAAAAATGTGATGGTTGCACCTCTCACTGTGCTGAGGGCACACAGGGCAGGGACACCAAGGGCTCCTTTTTCCTCCCACGAGCTGCCCCATTACTGGGGGGAACTCTGGAGCAGGAAGGCTTTGAAGAACTGAACCCCAGAGATCTTGGTCTTACAGCTTGAGGTTGGAAAAGTTCCCTCCTTAGATGATCTCCTGATGTTCCACCCAGCAGAGGATCACCAAGGTTGCACTGGGATGGTGACCAAGTGTGGGTTTAGAATAAAACCTGGTGGTTTCTGGGTGAAGTGCTCAGATGCAGAGGCCACCATCTCATTAGAAAATCAATCCTGCTGTTGGCCACCTTGGAAGAGAAGAAGACAGTCCCTGGGGAATGCTCAGATCCACCACTGCCCACAGCAAGGCTCCTCTCGTGATAACCACGGTGGGGCTGATTCTCTTGCAGGAGAAAATCCTCTGCCATCATCTTCCTGGAATGCTCCTGCAGAAAGGCAATCTGCACAATTAGTGCTGTTTCATACTAATCACACAAAATCAGGCAGGGCTGAGCCAGCGGAGAGCACAGGAAGCAGTGGAAAATGTGCATTTTTTTCACGTAATAAAATAATTGAGTGTCCCAGGCAGGAGATGTCTGGGTGGGCTTGGTGGCATTGTCCAGCTGCTCCACAGCAGGGACACCACCCCAGGTAGCTCCAGCCTGGCCCTGAGCCCTGCCAGGGATGGGCACATCCCAGATCCAAGGGGGTTGTGGCCTTCAGGAGACCCCACAGCCCTGAGGGGTGATCCTTGTGCCAGGTTGTAGTAGAAAAATAAAATATTTTTTAGGATTTTTTAATATCATTTTTATTGATAATATAAAGAAATTAAGTTTAAAATTTTCTTTAGGCCCTTTTAAAATCTTAAAACTACTTTGCCTTTCTCCTAATCCTATCTCACAACAAAAAAATAAATGCATTAAAATAATTTTTTATCAATTATAAAAAGAAATAAAGTTTAAAATTTCCTTTATACCTTTTAAAATCCTAAACCTCCTTTACCTTTCTCCTAATCCTGTCTCACAACAAAAAAAATAAATACATTAATAATTAACCAACAGTAAAACCCACTATACTCATTAAAAAATCTCAAAAAACCTAAAATTAACAAACCAAAACCACTACACAAAATTAGTGGGTTTGTTGTTAATTAAAAAGAAAAAAGAGTGCTTTTAAGTTTTTTTATCTTTAACGTGTATTTCACAAAAACATAATTTTTTAGTATTTTAATAGACTATTTTTATACAAAAATAACAATGCAATAATGCAAAAAGTTTTGTATTACTTTCTTAAATCTCTTTTTATTCTAAATGATAACACAGCTGTGTGCCTGTGCTCTCCTGGCTCTTCTGGCCCAGCTGGGGCCACTGGTGGTCACTGGTCCAGCAGGGTGACCAGGGCACTGCTGCTGTCCAGGGTGACCAGGGCACTGTCACTATCACAGGGTGACCAGGGCACTGCTGTCCAGCAGGGTGACCAGGTCACTGTCACTGTCACAGGGTGACCAGGGCACTGCTGCTGTCCAGGGTGACCAGGGCACTGTCACTATCACAGGGTGACCAGGGCACTGCTGTCCCCCAGGGTGACCAGGGCACTGTCACTGTCACAGGGTGACCAGGGCACTGCTGCTGTCCAGGGTGACCAGGGCACTGCTGTCCCCCAGGGTGACCAGGGCACTGTCACTGTCACAGGGTGACCAGGGCACTGCTGTCCAGCAGGGTGACCAGGTCACTGTCACTGTCACAGGGTGACCAGGTCCCTGCTGCTGTCCAGCAGGGTGACCAGGGCACTGTCACTCTCACAGGGTGACCAGGACACTGCTGCTGCCCAGGGTGACCAGGGCACTGCTGCTGCTGCCCAGGGTGACCAGGTCACTGTCACTGTCACAGGGTGACCAGGTCCCTGCTGCTGTCCAGCAGGGTGACCAGGACACTGTCACTGTCACAGGGTGACCAGGTCCCTGCTGCTGTCCAGGGTGACCAGGGCACTGTCACTGTCACAGGGTGACCAGGTCCCTGCTGCTGTCCAGCAGGGTGACCAGGGCGTGTCCAGGCAGCTCAGGGTCACCAGGGCCAGCACAGAGCCCTCTGAGGAAGAGGATTCCTTCCTCCAGGAAGGGGGAGAATTCCAACGTTTGATCCCACTCGGAGCTCACAGCCCTGAGGGTGGGAGGAGCAGCCGGGGGCTGTCACTGCCACTGTCCCAGGGCATGGGGCACACAGGGCTGTTCCAGAGTGAATCCATCTCCCCTGAAATAGGAGTCTCTTCGAGCCAGGTCTCATAAGCTTTTGAAGATTTATTTCACATCCAAGATAGCTCAGCTACCTTAGAAGGCATGAAATCAGCAGGATAGTTTTTGTGGCACTGTTAGAAACAAAAAAGTTTTAATAAAATGCAAAATAATAAGCTCTTGACAGAGAAAAACTAATCTAAGTGCAAAAACCCCTCGTGCCCCTGGTAAAACACCTCATAAAAGCTGTTAGTTTCTTTGTTCTCTTCTTCTAGTAAATTGCTCAGACAGGACTTTTCAGCTCCTGTCCAATTAACTATCCTTAAGTTTAAAATTAAGTCCCCCAAGCCCTATAAAACACCTTTTACACCTAATCAAAAATAAAAACTCCTAAACTTATTTCCTTTTTAAAAAGACAAAAGATAGTTTTGTCACTCCATCAACAAAAAACACATTCCTGTACTGCCCTGCTTTGGGAGCCAGCTCAGGTGGGGACAGGGGACACTGGGGGCGGTGGCAGTGCAGCCCCTGTTCATGCTGTGTGTGCCACTGTCACTGTCACTGCCACTGTCATTGTCAGTGTCACAGGTTATGAGGGCATGGGGCACAAGGGACTGGTCCAGGGTAAATGTCCTGCATCTCCCCTGCTTTGGGAGCCAGCCCAGGTGGGGACAGTGAGGCTGAGGTGGGGACAGAGGCCCCTGGGCAGTGGCAGTGCAGCCCCTGCTGATGCCATCTGTGTCACTGCCACTGCCACTGTCACTGTCACTGTGTCACTGTCACTGTCTCAGGGTGATCAGGGCATGGGGCAGAGGCAGTTCCAGGGTGAATCTCCATCTCCATGTCCACTGCTTGGGGAGCCAGCCCAGGTGGGGACAGTGAGGCTGAGGTGGGGACAGAGACCCCTGGGCAGTGGCAGTGCAGCTCCTGCTGATGCTGTGTGCCCCTGTCCCTGTCACTGTCCCTGTCCCTGCCACTGTCACTGTCACTGTCACTGCCAAGGGTGACCAGGGCATGAGGCAGGGGCTATTCCAGGGTGAATTTCCATCATCTCCCCTGCTTTGGGAATCAGCCCAAGGTGGGGACAGGGGACACTGGGGGCAGTGGCAGTGCAGCCCCTGCTGATGCTGTGTGTGTCCCTGTCACTGTGTGATTAGGGCATGGGGCACACGGGGCTGTTCCAGACCCATCTCCCCAGCTCTGGGGGGCCCCCAGGTGGGGACAGGGGACCCTGGGGGCAGTGCCAGTGCAGCCCCTGCTGATGCTGTGTGTGCCATTGTCACAGGGTCACCAGGGCATGGGGCACACAGGGCTGTTCCAGTTCCATCTCCCCTGCTTTGGGGCCAGGTGGTGACAGTGAGACTGAATTGGGGACAGGGGACCCTGGGGGCAGTGCCAGTGGCAGTGCAGCCCCTGCTGACCCTCTGTGTGTCCCTGCCAGGTACGAGGAGGAACCTGCGCAATGACCTGCTGGTGGCAGCTGACTCCATCACCAACACCATGTCCTCGCTGGTGAAGGAGCTGCACTCAGGTAAGGGCTGAGCCACAGCTTGGAGATTTGGCCCTAGATTTGTCTTCTGTCAAAACTGTTTTTCTATTAACTGTTATTTCTGTTCTGTTGTTTTCTGTAATGTGAGGTTGCATGTCCACGTTCTCAGTGAAAAATCACTTTTACACCCAGCACCACTCCCTGGGCCGTGCTGGGTGATGATCTAATGACACAGTCACAAGGCAGAGCAGGTTTTTGGGGTGAGGTCCCCAGATTCCTGCAGTACCTGGGCAGCAGGTGAGACCCTCTGCAGTGCCTCCCCATCAGATGATGCAACCACATCTCAATAACCATACAGGAGGCCAATTTCATCCCTTGTGGTTAAACAATGACATGGAAAACAGATAATTACTCCCTCTGAGCCTGTTCCCCATGCCAGGGGAGCTGAACACCCCTCTGGGGCTGGGGCAGCTCCTGCCTCTCCCAAGCAAGTGTCCCCTGGCCCTTGTCAGCAGCAGGGCTGGGACCATGGAGCGCTCCAGCACTAAATCCTGCTTCCAGGGGGGATTTCTGCATGGAAGGAAAGGGCTGGCAGGCTCTGAGAGGGCTCTCCAGGGTTGGCAGGCTCTGAGAGGGGGTCTCCAGGGTGCAGTCCCATCCCTGGATGTGCCCAGGGACAGACTGAACTCAGTGCTCTGGGCTGGTGACAAACAGGGGAGCAGTCACAGCTTGGACTCTGTGGAGGCCCTTGGGCAAGGTGAAGGTGCTGTGGTTCTGTTCTGGGCTGGTTTTGGTGCTGAGGAAGAAGAGAGGTGCCCTGTGTGTGTTCCTGCCCTTTTCCAAGGTGAAGGTGCTGTGGTTCTGGTTCTGTTCTGGGCTGGTTTTGGTGCTGAGGAAGAACAGAAATGTCCTGTGTCTGTCCCTGCTCCCCGCTGGAGCCAGCACCAAATTCCCCACTCATTTTGGGTGACCCACGAGGCTCTGCCATGGTGGTGGTGGAGCCTGCAGGGATGAACAGGGGGGTGTCACTGCCCAGCAGTAAATCCCCCTCCAGCCCCATGTCCTGGCAGCAGAGACAGCTCCAGTTAATAAGTTGTCCATGGATGACACAGCACCAGCAGGGCCGTGCCAAGGCCACCAGCTCCCCCATAAATCACCTCAGCTCTGCCCCCGAGGCTCAAACACAGAGAGCAAACCTCTGCCCAGGGTCTGCACTCGTCCCTTTTTGCTTTCCAGAGCACAGGGAGTGTTGTAGAATCACAGAATTGTGGAACGGCCTGAGTCAGAGCCACAGGGATCCAGCTGCTGACCCTGCCCGGGACACCCCAACAATCCCATCCTGTGCCTGAGGGCATTGCCCACAGCTTTCCCTGATCTCCATCCCAAACCCCCTGACACAGCTGCAGCCACCCCCAGGGTCCGTGCCAGGGCCCTCCAAAGCTGTGTGGCTCACCAGGGAGCGGGAACGGAATGAGAATGGAGCTGCTGACAGGCTCGTGCTGGAGGAGATGCAGGGAGCAGGGAAGGCTCCCCTGGAAGTGTCTGCGATGGTGTCATTTGTGCAAATGAGGAAGAGCATGAGTTATCCTCAGCTGATGGAGCCAGCAGGATTTCACACGTCGTGTCCCGAGGGGAGCTGTGGGAACAGACAGCTCCTGCAGCGTGGGGAGGGCTGGGATCCAGGGGGGCTGCAGCTCCTTCCCTTCCCTTCCCTTCCCTTCCCTTCCCTTCCCTTCCCTTCCCTTCCCTTCCCTTCCCGGAACATTTGGGCAGCGCTGCCAGGGATGCCCAGGGTGGGATTGTTGGGGGTCTGGGCAGGGGCAGGGTTTGGACTCATGCACCTGGGGGTCTCTTCCAGCTCAGGATATTCCATGATTCTGTGATGGAGCTGTGGAGTCACAGAATCACAAAATCATTGAGTGTGAAAAAGATCTCTAAGCCCCTGAGTTCAACTGTTCCCCCAACACTGCCAAGGCCACCATTGCCCCGTGTCCCCAGGTGGGACAGCCACAGCAGAGTGCCACATCCACACCACAGTGCCACACCAAAGTGCCACAGCCACACCCAAGTGCCACAGCCACTCCAGAGTGCCACAGCCACACCAGAGTGCCACAGCCACACCAGAGTGTCACATCCACTCCAAAGTGCCACAGCCACACCAAAGTGCCACATCCACTCCAGAGTGCCACAGCCACACCAGAGTGTCACACCCAAAGTGCCACAGCCACACCAGAGTGCCACAGCCACACCAGAGTGTCACATCCAAAGTGCCACAGCCACTCCAAAGTGCCTCTCTCACGCTCCCAGTGCTGCTGGGCAAACGCTGATCCATTTTTACTCCATTTCTACTCCATTCTTGCTCCATCTGAGCTCCAAAGGAGCAAATTCAAGAGGTGCTGCACTGCAGGGAGCCGAGGCAGTGCTGGCTGTTCCTGACCCCACACTGAGCTCCAGGTCCCAGTTTTGGTTATTCCAGAGCTGCCTGATCTCCTCAGCTCTCCCTTCAAGGACCCTCTGGAGCTGTGTGACCCCCATGTGCCACCATGCTGCTCTCAAAGCCACCAAGGATGTGTCTGTGAGGTCCCCTCTGGTCACACCCACCCCAAACACCTCTGGTTCTGCAGCTGCTTTGTTTCTCCAGCTGCTGTAGCCAATCTGAAATGAGTGTTTGGGTGACTTCAGCTGATGCTTCAGGTTTAGATAGCAAATATTTGTCCAACATGACCCCCCAAAAAAACATTTCCCACCTGTTTGGTTGGTGGTTTTGGCCAAAACCAGTGGGTGTTTGGCCAATCCCAAGAGATATTCAAATATCAGGCACATTTATGGATCGTCCCCAAATAATCTTTATATTCCTGTGGGTGTCTGGGAACAGTGGGTTCCTCACCTTCCCAAGGCATCTTCTGAGCCTCAAGGATTGGAGAGACTTGGCTCTATGTACATGACCTATTGTGTCAAATTTGATTTATTTAATTTATCTTTAAATTTAATGATTTAATTAATTTTAATTTAATTTAATTAAATATATAATATAATATAATATAATATAATATAATATAATATAATATAATATTTATATATTATTATATATAACTTATTATATCTAATATAATATTTATATATAACATACAATTATACATAATGTATAATATTTATATGTCTATATATTATATATAATTTATTGTTTCTAATATTTATAAAATATATAATATATAAATATTTAATATTTAATTAATTTAATTTAATTAATTCCTCTGCAAATTTAATTAATGCAGGGGAAAATCAATGTTTAATTGAAGATGTTCCTCCTTATCACAGTAAATTCAAAAATCAGACCTCATGGTGCAACCATGCTTCTTTAGTTCAGCCTGCATTTGATATTCCCCTCCAGTTACCACATAAAATATAATAAAATTATATTTATTATATTTTTAAAATAATAAAAATAAATAAATAAATAAAATAAAAACCCTGAAGGGGTTCAAAGGCCCTGTGGATGTGGCACTTGGGGACATGGGGCACTGGTGGCCTTGGGAACTGGGGAGACAAGTGGACTCGATGATCTGAGGGATTTTCCACCCCCAACAATTCCACAATTGCCTCTCTCCTCTCACCCCCCTGTCTCATGTCTGTTTTTCCTCTTTGTGTTTTTTCCTGAAGCAGAGGAAGAAGACGAGGAAGAAACAGAGAAGCTGCAGAATGGAAAGGATCGAGGTGAGGGGACAAACCTGTCTGAGAGCTCTGCAGCGTTTTCTGATCGCTCCTCTGGGGCTTCACTGGCTCCCTTCGCACCCCAAGGGGGCCTCTGGGTGCAGGTGGATGTCCCTGGGTGCAGGTGGATGTCCCTGGGTGCAGGTGGATGTCCCTGGGTGCAGGTGGCTCTGGGTGCAGGTGGATGTCCCCAGGTGCAGGTGGATGTCCCCGGGTGCAGGTGGATGTCCCTGGGTGCAGGTGGATGGCTCTGGGTGCAGGTGGATGTCCCTGGGTGCAGGTGGATGGCCCTGGGTGCAGGTGGATGTCCCTGGGTGCAGGTGGCTCTGGGTGCAGGTGGCTCTGGGTGCAGGTGGATGTCCCTGGGTGCAGGTGGCTCTGGGTGCAGGTGGATGGCTCTGGGTGCAGGTGGCTCTGGGTGCAGGTGGATGTCCCTGGGTGCAGGTGGATGTCCCCAGGTGCAGGTGGATGTCCCTGGGTGCAGGTGGATGTCCCTGGGTGCAGGTGGATAGCCCTGGGTGCAGGTGGATGGCTCTGGGTGCAGGTGGATGGCTCTGGGTGCAGGTGGATGTCCCTGGGTGCAGGTGGCTCTGGGTGCAGGTGGCTCTGGGTGCAGGTGGATGGCTCTGGGTGCAGGTGGCTCTGGGTGCAGGTGGATGTCCCCGGGTGCAGGTGGATGTCCCTGGGTGCAGGTGGATGGCTCTGGGTGCAGGTGGATGTCCCCGGGTGCAGGTGGATGTCCCTGGGTGCAGGTGGATGGCTCTGGGTGCAGGTGGATGTCCCCGGGTGCAGGTGGATGTCCCTGGGTGCAGGTGGATGGCTCTGGGTGCAGGTGGATGGCTCTGGGTGCAGGTGGATAGCCCTGGGTGCAGGTGGCTCTGGGTGCAGGTGGATGTCCCTGGGTGCAGGTGGATGGCTCTGGGTGCAGGTGGATGGATCTGGGTGCAGGTGGATGTCCCCAGGTGCAGGTGGATGGCTCTGGGTGCAGGTGGATGGCTCTGGGTGCAGGTGGATGTCCCTGGGTGCAGGTGGATAGCCCTGGGTGCAGGTGGATGTCCCCGGGTGCAGGTGGATGGCTCTGGGTGCAGGTGGATGGCCCTGGGTGCAGGTGGCTCTGGGTGCAGGTGGATGTCCCTGGGTGCAGGTGGATGGCTCCGGGTGCAGGTGGATGTCCCTGGGTGCAGGTGGATGTCCCTGGGTGCAGGTGGATGGCTCCGGGTGCAGGTGGATGTCCCTGGGTGCAGGTGGATGTCCCCAGGTGCAGGTGGATGTCCCCGGGTGCAGGTGGATGGCCCTGGGTGCAGGTGGATGTCCCCGGGTGCAGGTGGATGGATCTGGATGCAGGTGGATGGATCTGGGTGCAGGTGGATGTCCCTGGGTGCAGGTGGATGGCCCTGGATCAGGTGGATGGCCCTGGGTGCAGGTGGATGGCCCTGGGTGCAGGTGCCCCTGGGGATCCATCCCATGGTGACCTTGGCAGGACAAGTGTCCCTGTGCCCCTGGGGATCCATCCCATGGTGACCTTGGCAGGACAAGTGTCCCTGTGCCCCTGGGGATCCATCCCATGGTGACCCTGGCAGGACAAGTGTCCCTGTGCCAATGGGCATCCATCCCATGGTGACCCTGGCAGGACAAGTGTCCCTGTGCCAATGGGCATCCATCCCATGGTGACCCTGGCAGGACAAGTGTCCCTGTGCCCCTGGGGATCCATCCCATGGTGACCCTGGCAGGACAAGTGTCCCTGTGCCCCTGGGGATCCATCCCATGGTGACCCTGGCAGGACAAGTGTCCCTGTGCCCCTGGGGATCCATCCCATGGTGACCCTGGCAGGACAAGTGTCCCTGTGCCCCTGGGGATCCATCCCATGGTGACCCTGGCAGGACAAGTGTCCCTGTGCCAATGGGGATCCATCCCTTGGTGACCTTGGCAGGACAAGTGTCCCTGTGCCAATGGGGATCCATCCCATGGTGACCCTGGCAGGACAAGTGTCCCTGTGCCAATGGGGATCCATCCCATGGTGACCTCGGCAGGACAAGTGTCCCTGTGCCAATGGGGATCCATCCCATGGTGACCCTGGCAGGACAAGTGTCCCTGTGCCAATGGGGATCCATCCCATGGTGACCTCGGCAGGACAAGTGTCCCTGTGCCAATGGGGATCCCGGAGGCAGCGCCACCAGTGTCTCAGGAGGTCCCTCCCTGTCACCGCTGTGTCCCTGGTGCCCCAGGCTCTCCCCCTGTGCTGAGGAGCCCGTGTCCATCCCAGGAGTTCTCCCAGAGCTGGGAGGGATCCTGGTGGCCTCAGGGTTGTCAGGGCAGCCCGAGGGAGGCAGTGCCAGCATCTGCTCCTCTCCTCACGCTCCAGGAGCCACCAGGAGGCTCCTCCCAGGGCCAGGACCTCCCTCAGGGCTCTCCTGCCTCCTGCTCTGGACGTTCCAAGCCCAAACAGAGGAACAGCCTTGGCCGGGTGTGAATCAGCCCCGGCGTTTGTCTCGCTCGAGCCAAACCCCACTGCAGCATCCACAGAGCAGGCTTTGGAGGCTGCTTTTGTTACACACACGTTTCCTGCTGGCTCAGCTGCTGCGGCGTCGCTCCCCGCACAGCTCATTGCCCTGGGCTTTCCCACCCCTGCCTCGTGCCGGGCACCCAGGTGTTTGGAACCGCTCTGTTCCTCTGCCCACCCATGGCTGAGCGCGGTGGGGAGTTGGATTTTGGCTCAAACAGGAGTTTTTCAGAGCAGAACCAGCTCTCAGGACCCTCTCTGCCCCAGAACATTCCTCATCACTGGAATATTTGAGATGCTTAGCAGATGATCCGCGCGGCTTTTTCCAAATATGCATTGTGTCTGGCATGGGAAACGGGGCAGGGGGAGGCTGAGGCACGGCAGATGGTGGATGGAGCAGGGATGGAGCACAAACTCTCCCCAGTTACTCCAGCCCAGACGTGTCCAAGAGCAGAGCCGGGTCCAAGAGCAGAGCCGGGTCCAAGAGCCTCGGTGTGGAATGTAAATACTGTCCCTGCCAGGGAAAAAAGCACTTTATTGCAGTCCCAGAGCCGGTGAGGTCAGCCTCTGGCAGGGAGATCCAGGAATGATCAATGTGGAGCTGCAGGGGCTGGGGGACAGCAGGGAGGGATGACACCAGAGCCAGGTCACCTGCAGGGAGCTGTGGCCAGGGGGCTGCAGGGCTGGGGAGCCCCAGGTTCAGCTCTGGCAGCAGCCCTGGTCCAGCAGTGTTCTCATTTTGGGGTGAACAAGAGGAAAAAGCAGCTCAGGGGGTCCCCAGCCCCTGCACCCCACCAAAACCAAGGCAGGGGCTGGTCCTCACTGCCATAGATTTAGAGAATCACCCCAGAGTGGTTTGGATGGGGAAGGGACCTCAGAGCCCACCCAGTGCCACCCCTGCCATGCCAGGGACTCTTCCACTGTGCCAGGCTGCTCCCAGAACCCAGCCTGGCCTTGGGCACTGCCAGGGAGCCAGGGGCGCTTCTCTGGGCACCCAGGGCCTGCCCACCCTCCCAGGGAACAATTCCTGCCCAATATCTATTCCTAATCGACCTTGTTTTGATTTAAAGCCACTCCTAGGGACAGCATCATCATTGGGCTTCCTCACGAGTTTCTCCACGTGGTTATTTCCTATTTCTCTGCTGTGTTTTTGTTTTATTCCCAATTAATGAACCCCAGCACCCCCTCCCTGCTGGAGAGGCTGACCTTCAGTGGAGCAGGGCTGGATTTGGGGGATGAAATCCTGCATGAGGAGGATTTGTTGCACACACGTTTCCCGCTTTGGTTTGTGTCACAAATCCCACTCAGTGCATGCCCTGTGGTTTGGGATCCCAGAGCAGTGTCCCCAGAGGTGTCCCCGGGGTCTCCAGGCTCTGGGGGCACAGCTGGGAGCTGGCAGAGCCTCCTCCATATCCCATCCTGGGGCTGGCACAGATGCCACACCATGGCAGCCCAGCCTTGGTGCTGCTCCACGTGGATCCTGGCTCTGTGCATGCACACCTTCCCCTGCCAGGTGTCATCCCAGGTGGGAGCAGCTCTGCCAGGGGCTGGCCAGGTCCTGCTGCTTCTCCCCCAGGCACCACGTTCCTCTTGGTGGCTGGTGTGAACCCAGTGTCACCTGACACTCACCACCACGTCCTTGTCCCTTCCTTGCTGCCCATTTGGGTTTTGTAGCCCTGACACCACTGCAAGGGGGAGCAAGCCCCTGGGTTCTGCTCAGACTGCTGGGAACAGCAGAGTTTTCTGATCCGTCGCATTTCCTGAACAAAAATACCCAGTTTGAAATTCCAGCCCTGGCACAGGGTGCCCACCCTGCATCCCTGGCAGTGCCCAGGGCCAGGCTGGACACTGGCACACCCTGGCACAGTCCCAGGTGTCCCTGCCATGGCAGGGCTGGCACTGGGGGGGCTCTGAGGTCACTCTGGGGTTCCATGGAATGCCCCTGCCCATCCTGGCCAAAGCTGAGCTCCTGCATCCCCCTGTCCCCAGAGGACAGTCCCTGGCATGTTTGGGGTGACACCGAGCTGGCAGAGGTGGCTGTGCCCCTGGGACCTCTCCAGGCTGGAGAAACGCCCTGTGAGACCCTCGTGCAGCTCAGCAGGGGCAGGGCCAAGCCCTGGGAAGGTGCCCAGGTGCCAGGACAGGCTGGCAGGGGCAGCCTGGCACGGGGACACCGAGGTGACCCCGCAGCAGTGACGTGTCCCTGTCAGGCTCTGTGGTTCCTGTGGCACTCCTGGCGAGGAGGGCACAGCCCTGCCCCTGTGCCTGGCACCAGAGAGGCCACCCCGGGCCCAGCTGGGCTGCCCAGGACAGCAGGGACAGGGAGGGACCATGGCAGCCATGGAGGTGGCACCTGCAAGGGCTGAGGGCACCGGGATCAAAGCCCAGAGTGTGAATAACAGGGAAACTGAGGCAGGATCTTTGTTCTCTGTGGTGCCTGGGTGTGTGGTGTTCACAGGGGTCTCAGGGTGAGGGAAGAGGATCTGACTCCATGTTTCAGAAGGCTGACTTTATGATATATATGATATTATTTTATTATATACATTTTATTATATTTTATTATATATATTATATTATTTTATGATATATATTGTATCAAAACTATACTAAAAGAATAGAAGAAAGGATTTCATCAGAGGGCCAGCTAAGAATAGAAAAGGAATGATCACAAAGGCTTGTGGCTCAGACTCTCTGTCTGAGCCAGCTGACTGTGATTGGCCATTAATTAGAAACCACCCCATGAGACCAATCCCAGATGCACCTGTTGCATTCCACAGCAGCAGATAACCATTGTTCACATTTTGTTCCTGAGGCATCTCAGCTTCTCAGGAGGAAAACCCTAAGGAAAGGATTTTCCATAAAACATGTGTGTGACACCTGGGGAGAAGGGGCAGGAATAAAGGGAATTCTGTCCCCCTGCAGCAGTAAGAGCTGAGGACAGATCCTCATTTCGTGGGACTGGAAATGCTCCCCGTGCTAACCTGTCCTTCCCTCTTTGCAGGTTAGGAGGGAGCACAGGCTGGACAGCAGCTCAGGTAAGGATGGACACCTGTCCCACCCCCAGCAGCTCCTGGGGCTCCTGTCCCCCCCTGCTCTTGTCCTGTTTCTGCACCAGGAAGGTCCCTCCTGCCCATCCCTCCACTCAAAAGGATGTTTTCCTCAGAATTATGGAATGGGTTGGGTGGGAAGGGAGCTTAAATCCCATCCAGTGCCACCCCTGTCATGGCAGGGACACCTCCCACTGTCCCAGAATGGTCCAGCCTGGCCTTGGGCACTGCCAGGGATCCAGGGTGGGCACCCTGTGCCAGGGCCTGCCCACCCTGCCAGGGAACAATTCCTCATTCCCAAGATCCCATCCAGCCCTGCCCTCTGGCACTGGGAGCCATTCCCTGGCTCCTGTCCCTCCATCCTTGTCCCCAGTCCCTCTGCAGCTCTCCTGGAGCCCCTTCAGGCCCTGCCAGGGGCTCTGAGCTCTCCCCAGGGTGGGCAAACACCATCGCCCCCATCCCTGACAGCCTTTTCTCCCATTTATTGTCCCTTCTCCCCTTTTATTGTCCCTTCTGTAAGGAGAGGAAACAGGAGCCCGTGGTGATGGGCGCTGTCCAGACAGACCAAAAATACCCTGTCTGCCCCCAGAAAGGCAGGCTGTGAGTTAATAACCAGGCACAACAGACGGACAGACGGACAGACAGACAGACAGGTGCAGGGAGGGGAGGAGGGCAGGGCTGGAGCCTGCAGAGTCTCCAGGGAGATCCTTATCTCCCCCACCTGAAGAGCTGCGAGGAGCAGGCTCGGGTTTCCTCAGCCTCTGGAAGTGTGCCACAATGCCCATCGCCAGTCCCGGTGGGCAGGAGGCAGAAAATCCTGCCTGGATGCACCAGAGGGGACAGCAGGGCATGGGGACAGCAGGACACGGGGACAGCAGGGACATGGGGACAGCAGGGACATGGGGACAGCCAGAGGGGACAGCAGGGCATGGGGACAGCAGGGGATGCACCAGAGGGGACAGCAGGGCATGGGGACAGCAGGGACACGGGGACAGCAGGGACACGGGGACAGCAGGACATGGGGACAGCAGGGCATGGGGACAGCAGGACACGGGGACAGCAGGGACCTTCCTGTGGGACCCCCTCCCTCTCCCTGGGGACGGCAGGCACCAGGCAGGACAAAGCTTCCACCTCTCCCTGATCCCCAGGGGCCAGGAGGGTCAGTTCTGGATGCAGAGCAGGATTCTGTGGGACAGTCCCAGCAGCAGCTCGCACCAAACATCCTCTGCCGAGTGGAAAAAGGGGATTTGCCCTTTTCCCCACCTCCCAGCAGTGCAAGGAGAGAGCCCCAGAGGGGCTCAGGAGCCTTTCTGGCAGCTTTTGCATTAGGAATTCAAGTCCTGCCTGATCTGGGAAACAATCTGGTAACTCAAGAAGGAGTGAAATTGCAGCGCTGGAGGGGGAGGCAGCGCGGGCAGCCACAGAGTGAGGCTGTCCTCACCCCTGAAAGGCTTTGGAGAAAGGGACATGAGTGACCCTGCCACCCCCAGGGCTGGAGGGGACAGGGGGAGCCCCAATTTCCCCCCCTCAGAGCCCAGAGGGGCCTCCAGCACATGAGAGAATGACAGTGAATGAGAGACCATGAGAAACGAGGGAGAGGAACCAGCCAGGCTCCTGGATCCTACAGAAAAATGGGAAAGGACAAAAGGAGAGCAAAAATAACCCATTACACCGTGGTGGCTCTTCCAGCAGGGAGAATTTCCCCATGAAAGGGGGTCAGGCCCTGGCAGGGGCTGCCCAGGGAGGTTTGGGGGTGGCACTCAAGGGACAAGGTGGGGACAAGGTGGGGATTGCACTTGGTGACCCGAGGTTTTCCCTGTCCCCAAGTGCCACAGGGCTTTGAAACCCTCCAGGGATGGAGAATCCAAACCTCCCTGAGCAGTGCCAAGGCCTGAGCCCCCTTTCCATGCGGAAATTCCTCCTGGTGCCCACCCTGAGCCTGCCCTGAGCCCATTTCCCCTTGTCCAGAGCAGCTGCTGCAGGGCAGAGAGCTGGGGGCTCCTCCTGCTGAAAATGACCCCAAACCATCACTGAGTGCCTGGGGAAGGTCATTCCCAGAGATCTGAACTGCAAACAGCTCCAGGCAGAGATTGGTGGAACCTCACAGAGCTCCAGGATCATTCAGGGTGGAAAATCCCTCCCAGTACACCCAGCCCAGCTGTGCCCAATGCCCACCTTGTGCCCAGCCCAGGGCACCCAGTGCCACATCCAGGGGACACCTGCAGGGATGGGCACTGCCAACCTCCCTGGGCAGCCCCTGCCAAGGCCTGAGCACCCTTTCCATGCAGAAATTCCTCCTGGTGTCCACCCTGAGCCTGCCCTGGCCCAGCCTGAGGCCATTCCCCCTTGTCCTGTCCCTGTTCCCTGGCTGTCCCCTCCTGTCAGGGACTTGTGCAGAGCCACAAGGTCCCCCCTGAGCCTCCTTTTCTCCAGGCTGAGCCCCTTCCCAGCTCCCTCAGCCTCTCCTGGGGCTCCATTCCCTTCCCAGCTCCCTCAGCCTCTCCTGGGGCTCCATTCCCTTCCCAGCTCCCTCAGCCTCTCCTGGGGCTCCATTCCCTTCCCAGCTCCCTCAGCCCCTCCTGGGGCTCCATTCCCTCCCCAGCTCCCAGCACTGCTGGCCCTGGGGCTGGGCAGGATTTCTGGGGGATTTCATTGGGATTTCTGGGGGATTTCTATGGGATCTCTGCGGGGTCTCTGTGGGGTCTATGGGATCACTGCAGGATTGCTGTGGGATCTCTGCAGGATCTCTGAGGGATTTCTTCAGGATTTCTGTGGGTTGGGGTCTCTGTGATCTCTGTGGTATCACTGCAGGGTCCATGTGGGCATTCTGCGGGATCTCTGCAGGATTTCTGTGGGATTTCTGCAGTGTCTCTGCAGGGTCTCTGTGGGATTTCTGCAGTGTCTCTGCAGGGTCTCTGTGGGATTTCTGCGGGATCTCTGCAGGATTTCTGGGTGATTTCTGCAGAGTCCCTGCAGGATTTCTGTGGGATCTCTGCAGGGTCTCTGCAGGGTCTCTGTGGGATTTCTGGGTGATTTCTGCAGGATCCCCGCAGACCCTGACGGTGTTCCCGGTGCCGCAGGCTCGGAGGATGCTCCTGCGACCGAGGGACGTCTCCCCCCTCAGAAGAGGCCGTTCCGGCCCATCCATCACCATCGTGCAACTGTGACCGATCTCCACCACCTGGAGCCAGCACCGGGAGCTGTCCCGAGGCCTCTCCTGCCCCTCAGGCCATTGCATGCACCCTCGGTGTGTTCCCGCCCGGCTCAGCCGCTCAGGCAGGCTTAAAAAACAAAAATAACACCTGAAAGGACACTGCTGGTGGCTCTGTGTGCTGCTCCCTGCCAGGGTCCCCCCAACAGAGCTGCTGTCACCCGCACGGGGTCACTGTCACCCCCACGGGGTCACTGCCCCTGGCTCTGTCCCTCCCCGTGCATGGAACAGAGGGGAGCAGCCCCCAGGGTCACCCCTGCACAAAACCTGGGGGGTTCAGCCTTAAAAACCCACCTGGAGCTCCTGCAATGGGGGTTCAGCCTTTCCAAACCCACCTGGAGCTCCTGCAATGGGGGTTCAGCCTTAAAAACCCACCTGGAGCTCCTGCAATGGGGGTTCAGCCTTTCCAAACCCACCTGGAGCTCCTGCAATGGGGGTTCAGCCTTTCCAAACCCACCTGGAGCTCCTGCAATGGGGCTTCAGCCTTAAAAACCCACCTGGAGCTCCTGCAATGGGGCTTCAGCCTTAAAAACCCACCTGGAGCTCCTGCAATGGGGGTTCAGCCTTTCCAAACCCACCTGGAGCTCCTGCAATGGGGCTTCAGCCTTAAAAACCCACCTGGAGCTCCTGCAATGGGGCTTCAGCCTTAAAAACCCACCTGGAGCTCCTGCAATGGGGGTTCAGCCTTTCCAAACCCACCTGGAGCTCCTGCAATGGGGGTTCAGCCTTAAAAACCCACCTGGAGCTCCTGCAATGGGGGTTCAGCCTTTCCAAACCTACCTGGAGCTCCTGCAATGGGGGTTCAGCCTTTCCAAACCCACCTGGAGCTCCTGCAATGGGGGTTCAGCCTTAAAAACCCACCTGGAGCTCCTGCAATGGGGGTTCAGCCTTAAAAACCCACCTGGAGCTCCTGCAGTGGGGGTTCAGCCTTTCCAAACCCACCTGGAGCTCCTGCAATGGGGGTTCAGCCTTAAAAACCCACCTGGAGCTCCTGCAATGGGGGTTCAGCCTTAAAAACCCACCTGGAGCTCCTGCAATGGGGGTTCAGCCTTTCCAAACCCACCTGGAGCTCCTGCAATGGGGGTTCAGCCTTAAAAACCCACCTGGAGCTCCTGCAATGGGGGTTCAGCCTTAAAAACCCACCTGGAGCTCCTGCAATGGGGGTTCAGCCTTTCCAAACCCACCTGGAGCTCCTGCAATGGGGGTTCAGCCTTAAAAACCCACCTGGAGCTCCTGCAATGGGCATTCAGCCTTTCCAAACCCACCTGGAGCTCCTGCAATGGGGGTTCAGCCTTTCCAAACCCACCTGGAGCTCCTGCAATGGGGGTTCAGCCTTAAAAACCCACCTGGAGCTCCTGCAATGGGGGTTCAGCCTTTCCAAACCCACCTGGAGCTCCTGCAATGGGGGTTCAGCCTTTCCAAACCCACCTGGAGCTCCTGCAATGGGGGTTCAGCCTTTCCAAACCCACCTGGAGCTCCTGCAATGGGGGTTCAGCCTTTCCAAACCCACCTGGAGCTCCTGCCCACACCTGGGGGGTTCAGCCCTCACCTGGAGCCAGGTGTGAGGCCACAGCCTCCCAGGTGGGTGGTGGGATGCAGGGGTGGGGCTGTGGTGGGTCACCAAGCTCTGGTGGTCCCAGCCCAAGCAGGGATGGAGGGAGGAGCAGGGCCAGGCTGAGAGGAGCAGCAGCACCAGGAGCTGGGCTCAGTTTGGGTGGAATTCGGGGAAATGAGGGAGCGGGGGTGGCAGAGACCCCCAGCACCCCCAGGTCTGCCCTCTCCTGACGACAGGGACAGGGACAATGAACGCCCTGGTGGCCAGGGACAGGGACAAACACCCTGGTGGACAGGGCCAGGGGCAATAAACACCCTCATGACCAGGGACAGGGACAGGGACAAGGAACACTTTGGTGGCCAGGGACAGGGAAGCAGCTGCAAGCAGGGGAGGGCAGCCAGAAGAACCTGGAGGGAAGAGCAGCTCCAGCTGGGAAAGGGGACAATGATGGGGACAAGGACAGGCATGGGGACAGGGATGGGGATGGGGACAGGGACAGGGATGGGAGCGAGTACAGGGATGGGGATGGGGACAAGGACAGGGATGTGGACAGAGGCAGGGACAGGGACCAGGATGGGAATGGGGACAAGGACAGGGATGGGGATGGGGATGGGGATGGGGATGGGAATGGGAATGGGAATGGGAATGGGTTTAAGAATGCGGATGGGGACAGGGACAGGGATGAGAGCAAGGATAGAGATGAGGAGAGAGATGGGGATAGGGATTGGGAGAAGGATGGAAATGGGGATAAGAACAGGGATGGGAATGGAGGAAAGGACAGGGATGGGAATGGGAGTGAGGACAGGGATGGGGAGAAGGATGGGAGATGGAGATGGGAATGGGAATGGGGACAAGGACAGGGATGGGGACGGGGACAAGGAGAAGGATGGGAGCAAGAACAGGGATGGGGATAGGGAGAGGATGGGGATAAGGACAGAGATGGGAAGAGGGATGGCAGATGGAGATGGGAATTGGGATAAGGACAGGGATGGGGAGAGGGATGGGAATGAGGACAGGGATGGGAATGGAAATAAGGACAGAGATGAGGAGAGATGGGGAGATGGAGATAGGAATGGGGATGGAGATGGGGACAAGGATGGAGAGATGGGGACCAGGACAGAGGCAGGGACCACTTCACGAGGGTTTTCAGCTGAATTTGGTGCATTTGGGTTTTCAGCTGAATTTGGTGCATTTGGGCACGCAGCACCTTTGGCTGTTGTGACATGTCACCCAAGGGTGTCCCTTAGGGAGGTAATTAACCCCTTGTTAATTGCCCCCTGGGCTGAACACAGGCTGCGGCAAGGACATGGGGCTCACACGAGCTGCACCCTCCTGATCAGGATTGCCATTTGCAATTCCCTGGGGCAAAACCAACCCAAGGAAATGCACCTGGAAAAAAAACCAACCCAAGGAAAATGCACCTGGAAAAAAACGAACCCAAGGAAAATCACCTGAAAAAAAAATAAAAAATAACCCAAGGAAAATGCACCTGAATAAAACCAACCCAAGGAAACGCACCTGAAAAAAACCAACCCAAGAAAAATGCTCCTGAAAAAACCAACCCAAGGAAAATGAAATACACCTGGAAAAAAACAAGCCAAGGAAAATGCACGTGAAAAAAACCAACCCAAGCAAAATGCACCTAAAAGTGCTTACCCATGGGCAGCCCTGGGGCAGAGCCCTGTCCCTGTGCTGGCACCCCCAGCTAATGCCAGGACAGGGACATCTCCATTGCCATGGGGCAGGGAATAGGGATGGGTTAATGCCAGGTCAGTGACATGCCAGTTGCCATGGGGACAGGTTAATTATGTTAATTCCAGGACAGAGACATCTCAAATGCCATGAGGATGGGTCAATGCCAGGACAGGGACATCCCAGTTGCCACGGGGCACGGAATGGGAACAGGTTAATGGCAGGACAGGGACATCTCCTTTGCCATGGGGACAGGTTAATGCCAGGACAGGGACATCTCCATTGCCACGGGGACAGGAATGGGGACAGGAGCCATTCCCACAGTGCCTGCTCTGTGGGTGACACACAAGGACAGGGCTGGCCGTGGCCACTCGTGGCTCGCCGAGCCCTGGCAGTGCCCACAGAGCCGGGGTGTCCCTGGGGGTCACACCGAGCTCCGGTGCCATTCCCTGTTCCTGCAGGCACAGGGTGTGGGGGACTGTCCCTGGAGCAGGAGTGTCCCCAGAGCAGGAATGTCCCCAGGAGCAGAATTGTCCCCGGGAGTGAGCAGGCCTGTCCCCAGAGCAGGATTGTCCCCAAAAGCAGGATTGTCCCCGGGATCAGTGTTGTCCCCAGGAGCAGGATCGTCCCCGGAGTAGGACTGTCCCTGGGAGCCCCAGGATCAGGACTGTCCCCAGGAGTGATCAGCACTGTCCCCGGGATCAGGACTGTCCCCAGGAGTGATCAGCACTGTCCCCAGGATCAGGACTGTCCCCATGAGCGGCTGGCGAGCCGCAGCCGATGCCGCAGTCCCGGGGAAGGATTCCAGCAGCAGCCTGCGAGCAGGGAGCCGTGTTCCGCCATCATTCAATAACTCCGTGAGCCGCCAAGCATTCAATAACTCCATCTCCTTCCCGCTGTCCCCTCCATCTCCATGTCCTCCCCGGGTTCCTGTCCCCCGGCCATGCGGCAGGGCTCGGATTCGATGGGAAAGGGCAGCGAGGCTTCCCTGGGGCCGGAGCAGCTGCGGGAGCGGAGATCCCGCATTGGTCATGGCCGCGGTCACCGCACAGAGCGCGCACTGTTCTGCACGGCACAGCTGCCAGATGTGCTGCCCTGCCCCGCCCTTCCCCCGCGCGGCCGCACATCTGGCCGAGGAGAGCGGCATCGGGACATCGGGGTGGTGACAGAACAACCAGCACAGCCCGGGCTGGGGACATCGGGGTGGTGAGAGAATCCCCAGTGCCTGCGAGGACACCCCACGCTTGGGGACATCAGGGTGGTGACAGAACCCCCAGTGCCTGCGGGCTCGGTGGCATCAAGGTGGTGACAGAATCCCCAGCACACTCCGGGCTCGGGGACATCAAGGTGGTGACAGAATCCCCAGTGCGTGCTGGCATCAGGGTGGTGACACCCACAGCAGAACCCCCAGCGCACCCCGAGCCTGGGGACATCAGGGTGGTGACAGAAACCCCAATGTCTGCTGGCACACCCTGGGCTCGGGGACATCAGGGTGGTGACAGCGCTGTCGTGTACCCGGCTCTGCCGCCGTGGCACCCTCGGGACACCACCACGCCGCCCACCCGTGCCAACCCGTGCCAGCACCGCGCTGGGGCCGCCTGCCCTGTCCCCCCTGTCCCCAGCCGGGTCCCTGCCACGCTCCCTTTGGGGTCACGCAGCCCCCGCGGCGCCGGAGGGCTCTGGGTGGGCACGGGCCCAGCCCGGGGCCCCCTCCCGCGGGGCCGGGGGTGCTGTGCGGGCTCGGCCAGGCCCGGTGTCCCCGCCCGGTGTCCCCGCCCGGTGTCCCTGTCCAGTGTCCGTGCCCGGTGTCCCGGCCCGGTGTCCCCGCCCGGTGTCCCTGTCCGGTGTCCCCGCCCGG